ACCGCAAAATGGACTTTGTAAAGCATGTAATGAAGCCCAAAATTGGATAGTAGAAAAACGTGCAGAATTTGAACCAACAAAAGAAAATCGTTTCGATCAGGAATTTAAGGTCTACAAGTAAGTTAACGTATTATTAGAGACATTTATGTAGTGGTAAAAAAAAAAATAAAGAGATTAAAAGGTTTAGACGACAGATGTTACATCAATTTTTTACCTGCTCAATAATGCCTTCAATTATGACCCTCTTACCTATACTTTAATCAGTTTAGAATAAAAGAAAGGGATTATTTTTGCAGAACTAAAAAATTCCAATATGATCAAAAAAAATTTTTACACCCCAACAGTTCATCTTCTTACATATATATATGATATAATTAATTGATCATAACAATCTAACAAAATACTTGTAAAATTTTATATTGAAAGAATTAATCAGTTCAGAAATCTTGAATTATCATTAAAGTCATAGTTGCACACACTAAAAGTAGTTTATGTTACTTATCAAAAATCAACAATGTAATCTACATGATTATATGAATAAACATAGTACATATACAATTTAAGTTTTTGTATAAATAAACAATTTTATGCACATTTATTTACAAATTGTAATATTCTGATTAGTAGTGGAGAGAGTAAGATTGATGACTACTGTACGATCAGATAAGGAAAATATGTAAATCATTTTTTTTCATGGTTTGGATTTCTTCTTTAATATATTTCCAATAATTGTTATAGAATCGTTTCTATACCAGATAGTAATTTATTGAAAACTTCAAAATAGATTTAGTTTCTGTTTCAAGAATAATTTCTTCATTAATATATTTCCAATAATTCTTAAAGAATCCTCAAAATAGATTTAGTTTCTGTTTCAAAGATAATTTCTTCATTTCAGTCATAAGTGTTTTCGCATAATATCTGATTAAGGTTTGTGAACAGATCCTCGTCATCATAATCAACATCATTATCATCATCAACATAGATATACAGTCCATTTGAAACCTAAGCTTGTATCACAACATACTTCCATTCTTCCCAGTTCTTTGCTTTCATCTCTCTGAGATCTTACGGCATACTGTCGATTTTTTCGGTCTTTCTAGTTTTCTTGTTCTAAATTCACCTTCCAATGATAAAAGGTGAGCAGATAAAAGCCTCAAAAAGTCAGATCTGAAAAATAAACCGAATAGGAAAGAAGTTTTTATAGTATTATCGTTTTGTTGTAATAATATCTGTTAGGTGGGTTAAGAGGTACTTGTTGATCTATATAAAAAAATGTACAAATAACGTAGATCTCACAGTTTCTGGAACTTTAATATAATTTTGTCGTCGTTATTATTGATATAGATGGAAAACTACTTTCTTATATTTCATTCGACCGTTTTTTTTTTTTTTTGCAACTTTAACCCAAAATACAACTCTCTTCTATTATTGGTTACAGTTACTGTTAGTGAATTTCTTTCATTTTAGATATCATATATATGTCATAAGATATAATGACTTATATGTCATAAGATAACATAACATATATGTCATAAGTTATACATATCATAACTTTCCATTCTCTTTTTGATGTTATTGTAGCTCTCGAGGATCTGCTTGTGTTGTCACTTCTCTTAATTGGTTTTAGTAGCTGTCTGTGAATTTTTTACAACAGACTTCATTTATATTTATAAAATAATATATATTCTATTGGTAAAAACACTAATTAAAATATTTTCTATATTTATGTTTATATTTTTCAGTGCTCAGCTAGAAAAGCAGTATGGTTTATGCCGTACTTGTAAACTTCATGTACGTAACGTACTGAACGAAGGCAAAAATTTAGCTTTGGGTGCAAAATTTTTAGACTATGTAACCAAACGTGCGGGCTTATTGAAAGAAGGACAATTCACGGAACTTGAAGAGGCTGTTAAACAACGAAAGAAACATAAATTCAAGATTTTAATTGCCACAATGGCACTTTTGAATATATTTTGTCTTCTAGGCAATATGACGACAATAAAACGTGATATACTTACAGAAACATTTGGAGAGCTATTAGGAAGTAGTATCTTCAAAGTATTAACGCATTCGATTGCATTCATTCGTGTACTGTACACATATATGGACACCTTTAGTAAATATGATATTATAGCCAGAATTGGATCTTTCGTGCGCACACTTTTTATGATGTTACTTTACTCAATGGGTTTGAGTATGCCAGATATAGTTCGCCTGGATTTCAATTCTATATATATGGTTATAAGCCCTTTTACAATCTTATGCACTGCCCTCTACTATAATTTATTGGATAGTTTGAAATTGACACGTTTTACATTTTTAGTCGCACTCTGGGCTGCATTTGCTATTGGTTTAGTGAGTGATGTACATATCTCACAAAATATGTTATTTGTAAGTTTTAATTGAAGTTATCAAAACTATAAATAAAATTAATATTTTTTTTTATTTTTAAGTTTTCGGCGTCTGTCTTAACAGTTATTCTTACGTTAACGAAGACGAGCGACTGGTCTAGTGCACAACACGACAGTTCAACAAATAGTTTTCACAAAATTTACTCTGAATATTTAAGTGACGAGGAAACAAAGAGTTTTATAAGCGATTATTACAATAGCAGCATAACATCAGCTCATAGCAATCGATCATATCCTACAACAACCAATTATTCAACTGTAACACCATCCGCTCCATCAATAAACAGTTTTCCACGATCTCAACTTTCTCCTACCTTGAGTTATCGTACCTGCTTTACAAACAAGAAACCAACTTCATGTTCACCTAATTCTTCATTAAACCACAACAATAGCACGCTACATAATTCTACCTTTAGAGGAGAGGGTCTAAAATCAAGTAAAAATATTTTGCGAGAATCTGTACTAAATCTGAATCGTAAAAATAATGAGAATTCTTTATACAAAAACTCTTCGTTTACTACTAATCCCTATGGTGATACTTTTATTATCAAAAACAACGAAAGTAACTATTTAAATTCAACACTGCAACATATAGACACAGACAATTGTAACAGAGTAGCTCATTCGCCGTTTTCGGCTTCTAACACTGCCTTACATCAATATAATTCTTATGCCGAGCCTCTGTTAAAGAAGAACAACCATAGTTTTTTAAATTCAACTTTACAAAGTATGGACTCTGATGTATTTTCAACAAGAGCCGAATCGCCATTTTCCGTTCCTAACAATACTCTACATCAACAAACACAAGCACACGTTGTTATGCCATCACCTTCAAATGCAAACACATCCTGGTCTTCAGGTGGGTTATTTAATCGATATAAACGTACAGAACAAAGAGCTACAAGTTTATTTCATGAACCACATAATACCATTGATAATAATGATGCAAAGTTTTCACGTTCATCTTCCTTATCATCAGGTTTTGAATCACAAATTGATCGTGATAATTCTGCATGTCCTGACAGTGTTCAAGCACCACATGCAACTTCGCGTTTAGATTATTATAATTCCTTCGAACCAATCAATGGAAATTATCACATTAATACAACTGCCAAAAGGAATTATGAGCAACCGTTATCAATAAATTGCTCTTCGCGGGCACAATCCGTTTGCTCTGAATTATGGAATCTGCCAAGCAATGGTAGAAGCATAAATAGTCAAAATTCTTTCAACTTACGTAAAATTAACGATGTACTGCCAACATATAGACGAGGAGATTTACTTAAGAAATGGAAGGAGAGTCAAATGACTTCTTAACAAATCTTCGTTCAAATCTAAAAGTTAACTATTTTGTTAATTATCGTTAAGCAAGAAATTGTTTTAAATTAATTTTTGTTCTCTATAGTATATATATATATATGTATGAATTAAATATTTATTGATTGAATTATATATAAGACTTAACTACTAGAATAGTTTAGAATTAATTTATTTGAAATTAAAAATGTTTTGAATTGACATAATTTTTTATCATAGGTTTAAGACAAATTATACATATTAAAAGACAAAAACAACCAACTTTAATATACTGCCATTTTTTTTTTTTGTGTGTGTTTCTATATATTAAAATTATAATTATTATATATAAAATACAATTAAATATATAAATAAAGAAGTTTTAAGGGCACGTGAAATTAAATTAATTTTGTTTTTATTTGTATTTATACAGTTAATTCTAATATTTTCTCTTATATACTCTCTCCCCCTTAACTCTAATTACATCCATCAATTCCCCTACCCATGTATTCGTCTTGTAATCCTTACATGTTATCTGCTTTTCAGATTCAGGAACATGAATTAATGATGATTATTTGTGGCTAATACCTTTTCAGTCTCCACTATTAAAATTTCGCAGACTCTATTGGCTCTATAAAAATCTGTTCACTGGACTTTTATGCCAATGACATAACTAAGATGATAGATAAAAACAAGAAATTAATAATGGTCCCGCCCACCATTGAACCTTGACAGACATGACTATTATAGTAATATTCTTTCCTATAAATATATATACATGTATGTTCACTGAACTATTATGCTAATGTGATCGGGGTGTAAGGTAAATAATTGGTTGTCTACCGCTCACAACTTTACCGCTTAAACTAAACTATCAAGCAACAGCTACCAGCATTGGCCAACAGATAATAAGTTGTGCTCCATAATGACACTGCTAGGTAACACGCATCTTTGATGATCCAGTACAAATTCACGAAAATTCAGTGTGAAGTTTTAATGTATCCATCGTTTAATTCAAAGCTTGCACCATCTAAATACTGTTTGTTTTAATCTATGCAAAACTCTCTAAATGGTAATAAGTTAGACGACCAAAGAGTTATTAAAAATCAAATCATTGACCAAGTTTTATACCGATAAACCACAGAAATTATGCACTAATAGAATTTTAAAGCTAACCGAAAAATAGCAAAAT